GGCTGGGGCCGGGGAGAGACGTGGCCGGGACCCGGGAGTAGCCGCGGGCGAGAGCTGGAGGGCCCAGGAGGCTCCGCGCCCGGTTTGCGGCCTCCCGCTGATGCAGGGCGGGGCCGGGCCTGCCCCCCCGGGTGTCAGCCCTTGCCGAGGAGAGCACCTCTCTTCCTAGCCTTAAAAACATTCACTTCTTCACGAAGTTTTGCCTCCTGCAGAAAAAAGCCGGATTTCCCTTGCAGTGCTCGGGAAGAGCTGCCTCTTGTGAGTCCCAGCTCCTGTCTCCCGGCTGGCTGGGCCTCACCTGAGCTTCCCCGTACTCTTATTTGGTTAGGAAACCAAATGATATGAAATACTTAGGGAAATTGCCTTTGACAGCGTGTGTGGGGCAAGCTCCAACCCAGAAGACAGCAAAATGTCTGTTCACCCCAGGGACGGGCAGCCTTAGACCAGGTTGCACTTGGATGGTGGAAGCTGTGCTGCTAACTAAAATAACAGTCAAATCTTGTTTGGATCTGCTAACACTGTTGGGAAGGCACACGCTGTGATTACTTTTAAATAAGGGCGAGCTAATTTAATGACTGCTAATGACACTTGTAGGTACGTGAGCAAAAATAATAAGGGACTGAAGTGTTCATCTTCAAGGCATAAAGGTCTCCTTGGATGTTTAGCGAGGAATTTTTCTCTGGCATTGCACAGTCAGGTGGGTGCATCTTGGGTGTCTGGCCTTTCTCTGAAGTACCAGGGGTTGGCTGCTGTTCATTGCCAGACTACATCAGCCAGCATTTCTGGCCCACACTGCCAAATCCTGCGTGTAATATAATGAAACTGAAGCATGGGAAGAAATTTACATTACATCTCTTTTGGATGGTGTTAGGCCTTGTGGCCTTGTATATAGCAAAACATCTGAGTCCTCTTTCAACTGGGTTAAAATCCTAAGCAATGTGTCAGCAAGAAGATTGCGGTGGAAAGTAGGCTGGGCTTGTTTGATAATTAAAAAGACTGGCAGCTTCCTCTCTTGGAAAACTTACGGTTTTGCTTGAAGGGATTGTTGCCAAGATTGGTAAGCTTGAGGGGTTTACATTTGATTTGATCCGGGCAATGCTATATTTCCATGTTTTTTCTAGGTGTTTCCAGGCTTCATGAATCAAAATACTCTGTCCTGCAGTAGACTTGCACTTGGCGTTGTGTTTGGCTCAGCCGAAACAGACCTGGAGTGAAAGTAAATTACCCTGATCACTATCATCCTGTCCTAACTGTTGGGTTAAGGACAGGTAACGCAAAAGGTACAGTACAAGCACAATCTTTAAGGGGCACAGGGAGATAGAGACTAACATTTGCCTTTCCCACACTTAGGCATTTGAACATCACAGTCATGCCCAGAGTGCTCCCTTGAAAGCAGACTGAAACTAACCAAGACTTGCTTACTGCTTCTCAGCTGCTGCTTCTGTTAACTTTACGGCTGAACCAAGAGCAGCAGCATTAGTCTAATCTTAAGGGTGGAAGAAAAGAAACCATCTTTGAGAGGAAGAGACGTACTAAGATGCAGGGTGTGTCTAGGACAGTGGTACTCAACCTTTTTAGATTCAGGGCACCCCTTGTTAAATTTGGGGCACCCGCCAGCTCTTACCTTCACTTGTTTCTTGATGGGAAAAGTAGCAGAGCAATTTTTTTAAATAGAAGAACTCGGAAGACCACAACAGGTCAGAATGGTTTTGATTTTATGGGTTCCTATTTGAAATCTTGTGAATTTTACAGGTGTTTTTACACCTAACAGTGCTAATAGTGCAGCATGCCATGCAATATCCTAAAAAGAATCTAATGGCACCCCAGGGTGCCACGGTACCCTGTTTGAGAATCACCGGTCTATGATTTGGAAGATGAGGTCCACAAATGATATATGGGGCTGTGTTGCTGTTGCACGCCAAATGTGTTCCCATGATTTCTGGGGCTGCAGTGTCTGTGTGCTCCATGGAAGCAAAGCAACCAGACCTTAGGAGAAAGAGATCTTATTTGTTTACTAGCCCATACTTTAAGCCAACAGAAAAAGGAAACAGGCTCAATATCTTACTGTAGGTTCTTAATTTGTTCCTCTTTAGCTAGGCAGAGTCATTGAGAAAGCAGGAATATCCCAGGAGATGTCTTTAACCCAGAAAAAAAGGAAGAAGAGTGAAATTGGGGTGAAGTAAGGTGTATTGCTCCAATATAGCAAGAGAGAAACAAAGGGAGGAGAGAAGTGTGCAGAAAGTGAGAAAGAAGATCAGGCAAAAATTGAAAGGAAAAAAGTGATTATGGCATTGTGGGGATAGATCGGATTTCAGGTTTTTGGTTGTTACCCTGATGTAATAAAATAATCAAAAGCAATAAGATCTCTTCCTCCAGTGGGCATTTCTTTCTCAGCCCATGGTTGCAAGTTTGAGAGAGAGTCAGTTTCCTCATCCAGCTGGCAGCAGTCCCATTTAAGAAAAGTTCAAAATGGGTCTGCATTCATGGGAAGTTGGGGCAGCCCATCTGATCTCTATATTTTGTTGTTAATTGACTTAGCTTGGTGGAAGAAAAAAAAAGTGAACATCAAAGTCATTCTGAAATTCCTACAGCAGTAAATTAATGTGTGCTCCTACAGTCTAGTCTTCATGATCAGCCTATCCACAGTAGCTGCTGAATGTGAGAGAATAGCACTACAGCAGAGGTTCCCAATCTGTGGTGCGGGTACCACTAGTGATACACAAACAACCCGTAAGTAGTATGCGGTAACAGATTTATTATAAGTAATTTATATGACAAAAATTTACTGGTGGTACTTAAGGTTGAACTGAAAAAATTGGTGGTGGTAAGGCTGTATCATTTTAAATTGGTTGTGCTCAATCTATCAGAGTTCGGGAACTGCTGTACTACAGTAATAGGTCAAGGTGTCTGTGATAATGAGGGTGGAAAATGTTGGTGTAGAGAGTGATGGAGAGATTTCAAGCTTCCGTAAGGTTACTATAGAGCAATTTATTTTTCTTAATGTTGGGGGATTGCCAGTGTCATCATGATTCAGGAAACAAAGTGATCAAACAGCCTTGTGGTGTGTATAGAAACAGTGTTTTTACAGTCCTTTCTGTGGTGCTGCAACTCCTGAATATACCTGTAGGGGGAGTCCTACATTTTTTTCTGTTGATCCTGCCATTGTTTGAAAGGAGTCGTAAAACCTGGATTTTTTGCTTTTAGGAATCAAAGCCTTCTTTGATACTGTCTTTTTTTCGATACAGAATATATATATTCTGTATCGAATATATATTCTGGAGAGAGAGAGAGATGGATGTATCTATATAAAAATACTCTGTGATGTCATTTGTTGGTATAGTGTGAAGATTGTGAAACTTCTGGGGAATACATCTGCAGAGCAGCTATCTTCTATTATGTACTCTGGCTAAATTACGGTTCTTTTAATGCATGGCTCACATATTGGGGAACAGTGGCTACAGCGTTTGTCCAAATGTTCCTTGTTCTTGCAGGTGTTCTAAGGAATTGGAACCATGACAGACTCCAAGTATTTCACAACTAATAAAAAAGGTGAGCTTTAAACTATTCTAGTGTATTGGAGGCTCCTGGGGACAGAGAGTGCCTATTTTAAAATTATGTTTTTAACTCCATAGAACGGAGGTTGTGCTTTCTTACGTGCTGTGTCCCCATTTCTCTTAGCCATCCAGAAGCTGTTCAAAAGTAGGCCATAAAACAGTTCCTGAACACCCAGCCCCCTCCCACACGATGTCAAAAGACAGGATTGATGAATTGAACATGCTTGCAGTATGCAAACAAGGCAGCCCCAATTACCTTTTCTGGCTCTGTATTACTTTCTGGAAGGTCAAAAACAGAACTTTGGGATTTGAAACATACAGCAGCCTTTTATAGAGATTTATATACAGGGCAAAGTGGTCGGGACTGCAGGCAGTGCATTTAAAAGGACCTAACCAGAAGCGTGCTTGGGTTGGCTGGAAGGAAAAAGCAGAGTTTAAGGATGCAGACTTGTTGTGTGTGTAGTTGTAGCCATTGGGAGTGTGGGGAAAGTTGGGCCACAAGTCTCAGATAGTATGTATGTGTTTTTAAAATATTATGGGTCTCTTCTTGCTGCCCCTTGCCAGTCCTGGTGAAATCTACCAAAGGAGGAAGACCCATGCACTTTTCTCACCTTTGTCCTTCACATGACTTCCTCTTGGGTTTATAGTAACTATGATGGCTGCCTAGTGATATACTATAAAATGTGTTGAAAAGAGAGGTTTTTTCTGAGTAACTTGATTCATGGGCATAAAAAAGGCATAATGGACACATCAGTGTAGCTGTGGACTTCCTCCATCATTGTGAAGTCATTTTTTCTTAGTTTCACTTCTGGCATAAAGGACTAATGGAAATTATGGAACATTCATGCCAAACCCACTGAACTTGGCCTTTTCCAGTCGCAGTGGGCCTGTCGAACTAATCCTACATTGGATACTGCCAAGATCAAAGTCCTGATTGAGGGGAGAATGTTGGTTTGATTATGTCGTCCATAGCCCCTCTACAGTGACAGAGTAGCTAGATGTTTCTGTTGACCAGTTACTAGTAACTGTGTGATGACATTGATGTCATTATGCTTCAGAGTCAACACACCCTTGGATCTAATGGAGTTCACATCTTTCTGAGAAACAACAGCACTCTCAACTTACTTCTCTTTGACTGAATCTGCAGGTTCTCACTGAGATGATTATACAAGGCCTCAAAACTGTACATCCTTACTCAGCGCAAAGGGAAAATGCTGGTGGTGCATACCGACTGGTTCAGTCAGGCTCCTGGGTAGGATCTCAGCCTGTTTATGATCTGGATGTCTTTTCAGGTAGCTGGCAATATAAACAGACACCTCAGCATTCCTCAGAACAATAATTTCATTCCTTTTCAGGAGCCCTGCTACTGAATGGTACCAAGGAAGAGAATGTACCTCACTGTAAAATACTGTGTTCGTTTATAGCCCTGTCGAAGTAATTCATAACAACTCGGCAATCTTCTAGCAGCTGGTTTTGCTGCTGCTGTTTCCTATGGAAACAGTGGCTTGCTATTACCTGGGCCAATCAGCTGATGAAGCAAGAGGGCCAGCATCTCTGCAGTGCTTTCCTTTTTGATTTCCTGGCCTTGCCTAATTTAAAACTCTTGGCACCCAGTACATTCGTGACTCAGATGAAACAAATGGCTGGGCCTGAGAACCTGAGGCACTGCTTAATGAGAAGAGCAGGATTTATGCACCTCTCTTCTCTCTCAGCAACCCTGGCTGCTGCACCCTGTTTCCAAACATGCCAGCCCACTAGGCTTCCTTAAAATTGCCATTTGGAATAGAACATTTTTAAGGATATTTATTGCATCCTTAATTTAAAGGAGCTGGCAAAAAATCCCAAGCAGGCTCCTTTATCCAGTCTGTGGTTTCATTGGCCCGTTTCATTGCTGGCTCATAAACTTGATCTACAGTAGTCCCTGACACTAACAAATCCAGTTCCTCATGTATTCTTTATTGTTTTCAACTCCCTTTTCCTGTTTTGTTTGCCTTTTTAGAGAATTGTGCTCACTTCCTTCACCTGTAGTTTGGCATGGTGGAATCAACAATAACACACCATACCCCCAGGGGACTGTTGTCATATGCTGATTTATCTGTTCCTCTTCCTGTTTAAACGGTGATCAGGAAAAGCTGGAAAACTAGGGTGGGAAATGCTTCTTTGGTTTCAGAGCTGCGCACTCAGATCCAAGAGTCTCATCCACATACCTACTAGAGGCCCAAAGAATATCTTCTCTGTTGGCTGGTTCTGTATCTCTGCTAATCGTTAAGGGAATAGGTACCTGTCACATTATTCAGCCCTCATACTGCAGTTGTAGGTTCTGTAGAAGACTCCTATGATAGATGGGACCATACCTTATCAGTGGTATATGGGAAACAATGGTTCAGACCTTGCAATGTAGCCTTGAAAGAGGTGTTTTGTCCCCAAAAGCTCATCTCTGCAGTTAGCCAGGACTTCTGCCATTCTGTGTGTCCTTATCGGATAGCTTGTATCCAGTGGTGATGCTGCCTTCTCTGTGTTCCTGCAAACCATCTCCAGTTGGAGGGAAAGTTATTTCCCTTCCCAGGCCAGCTGGATTCTATAGATAGATACTGTCCAAGCAGGTTCAGGAATCTGGTGTGGATTGAGGTTTACTTTATGGCTGCAGGGATCCGTCCTCAATTGATTTCTCTACACGGTAACAGCCGGAAGAGTTAATCTCATAGAAGGTCCCTTCAGTCACTTTATGGATGGCATCAGGAATCCAGGCCTTGCACTTCCCCTGGTTTCTGTGCTTGTTAGCAATAGTTCTCCCTTTTTTAACCTTGCATGTATTTTTCTGTTGGAGTAAAATTGATGCAGCTGTTCCTGCAATGTCTGTATTGCACTGTGACCTGTGTCATCTGCTGTTTCCTCATTTGTGCTTTGAGGAAGCAAATGATGATAACTAAAGGTAGGACAGTCCAGAGAAAATAATTAGCTGAACTGAGCCACTGTTTCTTACGTTTTCTGTTCCAGGATGGCCTCTCTCTTCCCCCAGGTTTTTGTTTGATCCTTGATATGCTTCAGTGGCTAATTTAGTGATGCTGATCTAATGTTCCTTGAAAGTGGCAAGTTTTGATTGTACTTCATTACTTTTATTAAACATTTTGAAGCCACATCCTCCATATTATTATTACTGCAGCTCTGAAGATTGCCTTATCACTGTATCATAACCTCCATACATTTTGCAGGCCCCATGTGCTACTGCACCAATTCTCTGACTGTAGCGGACTGAAAAGAATGTCCTTAGGATACCATCAGCACTGCTCTTTAACTCAACAGGTTAGCTCAGTTAATCTTTCCTTCTTCTTTCACCTGTAGTGGTGGCACAAATCATTCTTCAGGGAGCCCTAAAGCTAGCCTTTCTCTTCATCTGAGCTTCAGGCTGTTGTGTCCCTTTACAGGAGAGATCTTCGAGCTCAAGGCTGAGCTCAACAATGAAAAGAAAGAGAAGAGGAAAGAAGCTGTGAAGAAGGTTATTGCTGCCATGACTGTAGGGAAGGATGTAAGGTAAATGCTGCTTTTGCTCTTCCTGGTGGTCTAACTTCAGCAGGTCCAGTCCTCCCCTATCCTACCTGGGGATCTTTCTCTCCTGAAGCTCCTGAATTGGGGTACAATGAACAGCTTAATCTTGGAGGGGCTGGCAGAACCAAGGGGCTTTGCAGGTTTGGGGTCTGGGTTCTTTATTAGATCAATGGGAGTTAGTGGCAATATGGGGGAAATTTTATCTGTCTTTGGCAGCCCTTTTGCTTGGTTCAAACCAGTTCTCACTTGGTGATTTCATGAACAGTGATTTAATCAAAGAATGAAAAAGTAACCAGTCCCAGATAAGCCAAAAGCTGTGTAGTTGTTTAAAACCTATTTGTAACTCAGATATTTTTAGATGTCCTATCTGAGCTGACATTTTCAAATCAAGTTGTTAACCCAGAATTTTTTTTAAAGTTTTAAAAAGGCATTGTTTTTCAGATACCTCTTAGCTTGTGATAAAGTCATTAAACTGGGCCTTTAACACTTAATCGCGCTTGCTAAAGGGAAACCTTTAAATCAAAGGCAAATGACTGCCGATATTTTTCTTTTGTAGCAGCTGAAGTGACTTGAGTCAAGGCTTTCTCCTGTCAGCTTCTCCTAGATCCTGCAGTAAAGTCATAATAGTCCTGGATTCATGGCGACATGGTCTGTTGCCAGGAAAATAAATGTAAGGTTGCAGGTTTAGCAGCATGACTTCATTGCAGGATGAAGGAGCAGATGAAGTGTTGGAGGGAAGCATCTTTCAGTTAGCCAAAGACCTTAACCTTTAGATTCTCATAATGTACCTGAGATATGGGGATCCAGTATAACCTCTGTTTCCTCTGCAATGCTACTTACTAGTTGCCATTTGGTATTTATGTAAGACTCTGGTTATTGCAGTTTTAATTTCTTAATCATTTTAGATTTTACCAGCCTGAAATTTGCTATATAGGTTCCTCTAAACAAGGCTCCCTTCTCAGGCAAAAAAATCTGAGGAGTTAGGTGTTTCCTGCTGTTGCCAGTTAACCCCCAAAGCTGGGCACATTAACATTATCATCTTGTTCTGTCAACTTCCTAATTGGATCCAATTTTGTATGAGCACTTTATTTTACCTGCTTCAGGCACCAGTTTAATCCAGGAGGAGATTAAATGATTAAACAGTTACAAAGTCCCCTGCAAACTGCTTTTGAAGAGGAGAGTGACCTCTAATTTGAATATAGAGTAGTTATAACAGAATATATGGGATATGTTCCAGCGTTCCCCTGGCCTCAGTCAATAATGTTACCGTGTAGTCAGGAAGCTCCCTTTCCCTTTGCATATGGTAAATGTAACTTTTCTCTCCCTTTGCCCGACTCATTTTATCCAGCTCTCTCTTTCCTGATGTGGTGAATTGCATGCAGACTGACAACCTGGAGCTGAAGAAACTGGTGTATCTGTATCTAATGAACTATGCCAAAAGTCAGCCAGATATGGCTATTATGGCTGTGAACAGCTTTGTGAAGGTAACATGGAACAAGGCTCGTTAGAAGGCTCCCTCCTATGGTTCTTGTCATTGTGCCTGCTTTGGTGTGTACTGTTTATCACATGTAGTCTGTGGCTTCGTACTCGAAAGTTGCTGGACTGAATTGGGATTGTATCTAAGGAAGCAAAATTATCAGAGTGGACCAGACCAATGGGCCCATCTGAAATTGTTCCCTGTCTCCATCAGTAGGCAACACCAGGTGCTTTAAAGCAGGGGCAAGAAAAGTCCAGCCCACGGGCTGGATCCAGCTGGCAGTGGACTCCATTTCCTAACAGTGCCTGCCTGCATGGCTGGGGCTGATTTCCATGGAGACTAGAGCAGCAGTCGCACTGATAGCGGAAGGCCAGGGTTTCCATGGAGACCAGCCCCAGCAATGCTGGCAGAGTATGTGGCAGGGCAGGGAGCTGTTCTGGGGCTGGGCTGGGATCTTGCAGCAGTGACAATGTGGTCTGGAGCCAGGGCAGAGCCATGATCTGCAGCCTGCGTGCTCTGGGTGGGGGAGTGTAGGCAGTGGATTGTGACTCTACCTCGGCTCACAGATTTTTCCCTTTTAAAGGAGAAAATCACGGGAAACCATGGGTTTCCCCTTGCAGGCAGGCAGAGTTCCAGCCTACAAGGCTGCTTAGGCCTCAGGGGAGTGGGAGAAGGGTGATTGGGGTCAGGGGACCATGTTCATGCGCACGCACAAACATGCACATGGATCAGAATGCAGACAGGCAGCATGGTAAAAAGCAGCTCTCTGGAAGTAAGTTTATGGGGTGGGGGGCATAGGCGATGTATGGGAGAACATGTGCCTCCCCCTTTCAGATTTCTGCACCTACAGTGGGGCTTGGGGCTGCCGCCTGGCCAGACCAGCACTGAGCAGGTGCTGCCTCTGCAGTGCAGTGTGCAGGACCTGGCACAGGAGGGTGGAGTGGGACAGGGAGGCTCAGTGCTGCTGCCGCTGCTGCCACTAGGAGTGCTACACCACCATGGCCACCAAGGTGTGAAGTGTCCCCTGCCCACCAGGCAGCAGTGGGGGGCAGAACTCCATGGTGCCGCCACTGCAGCACCTCACCTTGGTGGCCATGGCATGGGCATATCAGGGCTGCTCAGTGCCCCAGAGCATCAGGGGGGGGACAGTTGCAGCTGGACCCGTGTCTTGGTGAGTGAAGGAAGCAGGGGGAGCTCTAATTTGCTATGATAAAAACCAACATCAAATACCAAAATATGTAGGTATTTAGAATTTATCTTATTATAATGATTGAGGTACTGGTAGACTTCCAAATTGCTTTAAAATTGTAAATATATAAATAAAACATTGTGTTCAGCTGATCCCTATGTATATGGTTGCGTTTCTTTTTATTGCGGAAAAACGTGGATTTGGGGTTTTTTAATTAGAGACTTCGTGATTTTTTGCTTACCGTCAGGCACAGCTGTGGCTCCATCCCCTCCCAGGACATGGGGACCACGGAAGCTCTGGCTCCTGCCTGACCACAAGGCAATATCCTGGGGCCAGAGCTCCTGCTGCCACTGCTGCATGAGGAGGCAGGGCCGGAGGGAATAAAGCTGAATCTGAACCTGACAGTAAGTGGTGGGGGGGAGGGAAGGCTGTAGAGGATGAAGGCTATGGGGAGCAGGGGGAGGGGGGGGGAGAAGGTAGAGGCTGTGGGGAGTGGGAGGTAAAGGACAGTCAGTGGTAGGTAGATGGGGCAGGCAGGGGAGCAAGGGGCACAGGCTTGATGGAGGGGGCAGGCTGCAGGGGAGAGAAGTGGTCGGAGGCAAGGGGTGGCTTGATCCCCACCATCTGTCTCCCCTCTACCATATACCCCTTGTTGCTGCTTTCCATGCTGCAGCAGTGAGGGGGATGAATTTAAGGCAACCCTTTGATAATTAGATTCTATACATGGTGAATTATAACAGATTTATACATTTTCCATATATGGAATCTAATTTTTGGAATGGGTCACCTTAAATTAAGTTGTCTTCGTTTCAGATAAATCTGGTAAATTAGAACATGTCTGAGCTTCTAGCATGGCAGTAGGGGGGTGTCCTTCCTGGTTACAGGGAGGAAATCCAGTTCAGAATGGACTTTTGCTTTCCTGGCTAATTAAATTTTAGATGAGACTCAGCAGACTTCTAGGGCAGTGCACTCTTACCCATTACACCTTAAGCCCTTGCTTCCTTTATGACAAATTAGTGAGTAGATCTAATACTTTGACCACCTTTTTCTTTGGAAGGAAATGTTTTATCTCTGACTTCCCCTTTAATGTGCTACAAGGAACAAGGGTTGGTCAAATGAAAGTGTGTTTGAGATAATTTATGGTAAGTCAGCATTTCAGCTACAACTTGTCATCTCCAGGGTCTGTAAGAAAATAGTCTCTGTACATTTTAAGCTCAACCCCTTTTTGGTGCTTTTCATTGATAAGGGATTCAATAATTAAAGGAAGTGTGTCTCATGCTTTTGTAAACTAAATTTTGGAGAACTTTCTTGACTGTATATATGTTTGATATGCTAGAAACAGACTGAAGCTAATGCTTGAATTTGTAAAATCAGGGTTTGAAAGTTGCACTGTCTGAGGCATTGAACCTGCTACGTGCATTTCTGCCTCTGAAAAGTACATCTATGTTGATATATCTTTAACTAGGGTCTGATATGTCAGATGGATTACTGTTGAGTCTATAAAATCTCAGCTTCAAGGCAATGCTGTGTAGAACTCTGTTTCTAGACCTGATGGTCTTCAGGAAGTTTACCTTAATGAAAATCGCCATGAGTTAATTACCATCTTTCACCACTTGAATTCTCTGATTTGAGCAGTGACTAGAATCACAGATGTGTTAATGTGCTGAAAGCCAAGAGTTTCTAGCTTTCAGGGTAATAGGGCATGTTTTTTGTAATAGGGCATGTAGTTGGAACTATGATTTTGCTGTCCAGTTCATGGATGTGTTAACTGGAGATTATTCAAACCTTGAAAAGAACAGAAAGTATCTTGTTCTGTAGGTCTGATCAAGGCCTTACCTTGTTTGGACATGCCCTGACAACTAGGTTGGGTTCCAGTCCTTGCATCCTGTGTGCTTCAAGGCTCTAGGGCTTGAACAGCTTGTAGATGCTGCCCATGGCTCAGCTGGGGTCTCTTGGTATGCAGAGCCTTGATTTAGCATACCTTCACCCAAAAGCTAGAACCTATAATCCAATTAAATAATTAAAGGAAGTGTGTCTCATGCTTTTGTAAACTAAATTTTGGAGCACTTTCTTGACTGTATAAATGAATTATGTCTGATATGCTAGAAACAGACTGAAGCTAATGCTTGAATTTCTAAAATCAGGGTTTGAAAGTTGCACTGTCTGAGGCATTGAACCTGCTATGTGCATTTCTGCCTCTGAAAAGTACATCTGTGTTGATATATCTTTAACTAGGGTCTGATATATCAGATGGATTACTGTTGAGTCTATAAAATCTCAGCTTCAAGGCAATGCTGTGTAGAACTCTGTTTCTAGACCTGATGGTCTTCAGGAAGTTTACCTTAATGAAAATCGCCATGAGTTAATTACCATCTTTCACCACTTGAATTCTCTGATTTGAGCAGTCACTAGAATCACAGATGTGTTAATGTGCTGTGCCATCTGAAAGCCAAGAGTTTCTAGCTTTCAGGGTGCAAAAACATTTCTCCTTAGTTAGCGGTTCCCCAGATTTGGCTGTAAAGTCATGTTAAAGTTTTGGATGGAGAAAAGCAAGTAGCACAAACTGCCAGAAGTACAAACCATTTTGAACTTGTATAGAATGTTTTTGGAACCTGTAAACTTTCCTGGGGTTTGGCTTGGACTAGGACAATTATTGCTTTACTCTAACAAGAGAGCCATTGTCTGGGCAGGGTAAGAATAGAATATCCTAATTCCAGGGCTAGCCATTCTAGTGCTCACTAATATCAGTGGTTAGTACTACAAAACCCACTTATTGCAAGTGCTTCCCCTGCAGGACTGTGAAGATCCAAACCCACTGATCCGTGCATTGGCAGTCCGTACAATGGGATGCATTCGTGTGGACAAAATCACGGAGTATTTGTGTGAACCACTCCGCAAGTGTCTAAAGGATGAAGACCCTTATGTACGGAAGACTGCAGCCGTCTGTGTGGCGAAGCTGCATGACATTAATGCCCAAATGGTGGAGGATCAGGGGTTCCTGGATTCCCTACGTGACCTGATTGCAGACTCCAATCCCATGGTAATGTATTTGTCCCTCAATGTCTTCTCCTATATTTGTAATAGGGCATGTAGTTGGAACTATTATGTTGCTGTCCAGTTCATGGATGTGTTAACTGGAGATTATTCAAACCTTGAAAAAAACAGAAAGTATCTTGTTTTGTAGGTCTGATCAAGGCCTTACCTTGTTTGGACATGCCCTGACGACTAGGTTGGGTTCCAGTCCTTTCATCCTGTGTGCTTCAAGGCTCTAGGGCTTGAACAGCTTGTAGATGCTGCCCGTGGCTCAGCTGGGGTCTCTTGGTACGCAGAGCCTTGATTTGGCATACCTTCACCCAAAAGCTAGAACCTATAGTCCATCTATTTGTCACCCTGCATCTGATGCTGACCCATCTGTAGCTTAAATGCACGCTTTCCCCAGGGGCATTCTAGGCTGTGGTTTAGCCCTTCAAGGATAGCTGATAGTAAAAGCAAACATGAAGACACATTTGTTTGCGCACATTTGTATGCACACAGGTGGCTTAGCGCAAGGATTCTGAAAGCACCATTGCTCATTATTAAATAACCTGAAAAATGCACAGATCTATGAACCCTGCATGCATTTTCCATGCTTTAACTTCCTTACCTCTCTAAAGTATTTTGAGGGCTGAGGTCAGGTCCTCTAGGGTGATGTGGGATCCTTTTGTGATGCTCCCAGTTTGTCTTCTGAACCATGGAGTCCTTTTAGGTCACCTCCTTTCTGGCCTTGCCTGCTCCTACTGCTAAACCATGATTTCCCACTACAGAAAACATACTTACCTATTCCTCTCTCCTGTTCAGTACTTTGTGTGAGGGTCATCCCCTTGTTTTTTCTGAGTTCTTTATATACTGTTTCTTTATTACTTCTGTCCCATCATTCTGCTTGGGGGGGGATATTGATTCTCCACTAGCCCCAGCAGAAGACCCTGGTCAGACTGGTTTCCCTGTTCTATCCATCTCAACATGTACCTGGTTTTGGTCAAAGCATAGTTGTTAAGCTAAATACTCTCTCCATGGACCCTTGTCTAATGAGTACAAGCCACAAGTGTCCTCTGCCAGGGGGATACACATTCATGAGGCTTTCATAATCCACCAGTCCCATGGCAATCCCAGAGGTCGGCCAAGAGCACCCTTCTGCAAATACGGAGTATGTCAAGTTTGCTTGGCAAAAATGTGTCAGAGGTTGTTCTCTGCCATTTTTCCTCAACTCTAGAACTCTTCCTTTTGAGGTCTGCCAGAGCCCAAGCCTGGACATGTTTTGGAAGCACTAGAAGACCTTTGCATTTGGTCAGGCATTTAGCAAGCAAAGCCATGCTGAGATACTCTTTAGTGGGTTTCTGTTTTATATTCCCCTTTTAAGTTGTTTTGTTTTCTTGCTCTTTTTTTTCTTGTCACTCTCCTATTTTGTTCTCTTACTGTGAGTTGCCTTGAACCTTTATTGGGACAGGTAGCATATATATTGCATGCGTAAATAAATAATAAATAAGTCTGCATAGTAATGAGTGCACAACAACTTCATCACCACAGCCAGAATGCCTGAACTTACAGTAGGTTCTTAAAATTATTGCAGTTTGTCCTTTCAACGTATACCCTCATTTTCTATACCTTGGTAGATTTCTTGACTATCTTCCATGGTTGAAATGAAATTTTGGTTCACCTGGTACCTCTTCTCAGTATATCAAGCGCCCTTTCCTTCCAAACAAATGCAGAAAAAATGTGTTGTAGATCCACATTAAAGTAAGAGAAGCATCAACATATATAAGTTGGAAGGGTGATGGTGATGAAGAATCATTTCTACCACAAACCTGCACTCTGGCTTGGTGGCAGCTGAGAAGCAGGGCTAGAACACTTGTCAGTTGTGGCTGCATTTGTCTTTATTAAAGTGGTTATGAACCAGTGTCTGGTTCTTCAGTGTAGCTGAATAGGACTGGCACTTTAACCAGCCCATGAGTCAGCTGCCTCTTAAATCTGGCTGAAATCTTGGAATTGATCCCTCCTCTTCCCCAGTTAATAAGAAAAGCCTGTATTTCATAATTATAGTCTCTTTTTGTAATCAACCAGCTTTCGAAGGCAGATGGTAAAATTTACTGTGACTCCTGTTCTTTTCCTATACCGAAAGTTTTAGTCCTGGGAAGAGAGGAACACCACAGTATCAGTGTCATGCAAGTGACACACTTCCCTTTCAGCCAGGGCTGGAGCTGTAATGAGTGACTTCTGAGCAAGTCATCTCTGATCTCCATCATAACAATGGCACCATCTGAAGTGGAGTCCTCAAGGAGGTTGAGGAGGCCCCAGGGGCTCTCTAGTGCTCTCTTCTGCCACCCTAAAAGCTGTTGCTCATTTTCAGTAGTTCTTAGATCTAAATGTGTTTGGGCTGGGGTTAGTTTTTCCAGCCAGGTGGGACATCCAGGTTTAAGACTATTGCAGGAAAAGCAGCCAGGCATTCCAAGTAAATGCAGAGCCTATGCACAGGGAAACAAGTTGTAAGTGAGAAGCAGAGAGTAATTTGATTTTAGGTGTGTGCCAGCAAATAAGCACAAAGAGAAGGAAGGCTTTATCAATACAATGACAGCCATGGTAACAAAAGCAAAAGGTATTTGCCCTTGAGAAAGGGAGAAGATTGAGGTGAGTTTGAGAGTCTTGATTCATGGAATCTCATTTTAATGGTCTCCTGCTTTTGGTCCCCAGGCTCACTTTACCCATTGACTTGGCTGCAGTGCAAGGGAATCATGTATCCAGGTAGATCCATCCCTAAAATTTCCCTGACCTTTAATGTGAAGGTGCTTGCTATAGGTGGTTTGAGCCTGAAAGAAGGCCCTGCACTCATTTATTGCTCTTTTAGTTCAGTGTTCTTCAGCACAGTTCTGTTCCTTTTTAATGGATGCTAAAGGCTTTGGGTTCAGAACCTGTAACTTCTTCATATTATAATAAAAGTAAAAAATATGCCCTGCCATGAGTATGGTATAGTGGCCCTGATGGTTCGGTTTGAAATAGTGTTCAAGAAGAGACTGTGTGATCCTCAGGTTTTAATTATTCTAGGTAAGATCACTATCTAAGCGATCTTGGGATCTACACTTAGCTCATTCAGGTACCACTGTTTTCACTTACAAGGAGAGGTGCAACACTGAGGCTTAATTGGGGTACTTAGGCTTAGTTGCTTCAGGCAGAATGAAGAGTTCATTGAACTCCCTGTGGGCACTGCCCATTTTAGTGCTTCTGAGCTTGAGGGAAAAAATGTAAGTGATTAATTGCAACATGGCCAGACAAGGTTCATAGAACCCAAGGTTCCTTGGGTGAATTTGATATCTTTTATTAGACCAACCCAAATAATTGGAGAATAGTTATTAAGCAAGCTTTCGAGTTCAAAAACCCTTCGTCAGGCTAAGGAAGTTTCAGCAGTTGGTGTGTGCTCTTCCTGGATGGAATGAAAAGTAAAGAAGCCAGGGGCTGGGCTGGGGAGTCAGGTGCCAGGCAGATTATAGTTTGGCTTCTTTCTTTTTCATGTTGTACAGTTCCCATTTCAGACAGCTGAATTCGATATCTTCCATGTTGCAGGGGTGTAACATGGGCACTTATAAAATCAAATTGCTGAACAAGGGCAGTGGAGTCATCTATACAGGTCACTAGGTGTTAAACAGGTAATCCCTCTTTGGTCTTTACTTATAAGCAGGGATAATAATCCTGGTTTTCCCTGATAAAAAATCACAAAGTCTCTGCTAAAATCCCCGAAATCCATGATTAAAATTAAAGGCGCCCCCACAGCCTTGCTGGTGCCTCTTGCCCCCCAGCCTTGCCAGAGGGGGCCCCCAGCTGTCAGGGGTATGGGCCTGGGTCCGCAGCACCATGCCCCCGCTCCCCCCCTCCTGCGGGCCCAGGTTAGGTGGCTCTCCGCTGCTGCATGCGCTCCCAGGGGGTAGTGGGGACTGACGCCCTGCCCCAGATCTGTACCTGGGGCAGGCACAGGCTGAGGCTGCTGCCCAGTCAGGTGGGGCTTGGGGCCCGGGGCTGCAACGCGCAGCTGCAGGGCCCCAGTGGGGAGCAGGACGGGGCCGTGGGTAGCTTGTCTAGGGGAGGTTGAGATGGAGGGCCAGTTCCCCACTGCCATGCACACTCCTGGGGCTCAGGGGAGACCCATGCCCCCCAGATCTGTACCCAGGGCAGGTGCACGCTGCAGGCTCAAGCTTCCGCCCGCTTCCCTTCCCCAGGGCCTCTGGAGCCGGTGTGAACGACCTGGTGCAGCCGGGGATAGCAGGGCCGCATGGGGGTTCCTTGCCACCGTGAGCTGCCATTGCCGCCCCCCGCCCCGCACTACCCTGATGACGCGCCTCCACCTCACTGCAGCTGTGCGCACAGGAGGTGTGTTGCCGGGTGGGGGGAGCAGTGGCGGTGTACAAGGATGGGCGAGGAGGTTTTCCACACAGCTCCTCCACTCCCTGCCACACCGGGTCATGGTGGGAGAAGTGGTGTGGCAGGGAACAGTAGGCCCCCTGCTCACCACTGTTCCCCAGCCCTGCCTAGCTCCCTCCCTACAGGGGCCTGAATTCCCCTCTTTCCCCCTGCACTTACCTGCTGGAGCTGCTCTGCAGGCTGCCTGAGGCCACATGCATGTGTATGCATGTGATGCCCACTGTCTTTCCACCTTCTTCCCGCTCCCTCCCTGCTCCCTGCAGGCTGGAAGTCTTCCAGCCTGCAGGGAGCTCATTGCAAAATGGTAAAATCCATGGGTTTCTCTGGTAAAATGAGAAATCCGCGTTTGCTTCTGGTAACAGGCATAATCCACAGTTTACTCCGTTTTTCTGTGGAAAATGGAAAACCCAGATCTCTGCTTATAAGTGAGGAGGGGCAAGCTAGTTTTAAAACTTCATCCATTCCCTGAGGGCTATTGTAGCAAAGTCATGGTACAATTGCTCTATCTAGGAATCTGTGTGCAGCAGATGTCAGATTGCAAATACTTATGAGGAAAAGTTTCATGGGGAAAAGCCTCTTACAAAATTCAGCACTGGA